CGGGTGGAACCTCACACTGAGGGGGAAATGGATTAACCCATTTCTGATTTAAGAGACTGTATGATTGATAAGTTCCATGCATCAGCGTTCTCACCACAGTTCTGGCTCACCTGCCATGCTACTAATGCAGTCTATACAGTTACTATACACTGGTTGTTGTTATCGATTACAGGCTCTCTTTGAGTAGCCCTACTTTGTCTTTTCGATGCATGCAGTTGTTCAGTGTTATAGAAATGCTCACGAAAAATTGTGACTTAAATTATTAATGTGAAACACAAAATATGTCATTTTGCTCAACTCTGCTGGCATTAGAGGTAAAATGCATTAAACGCAGCCTTCACCTCTCCAGTCAGCATCACAGTGCCAGACATGCAACTGACTCAACAGACACAAAAAGGAGGTGAAAATGAAGCTATTGTAGCTCGGAGTGCGCTGTGCCCCTGACAGCCTGCAGCATGTTTGCTTCACCAGTTATCCAACAGGAAGAAATACAAAAAGATGTGCAGCATAATGATAAGTAATTACATTAAATGCAGCACAGAATGCCACCTGAGGCTCTGCAGCCGAAGGTTCATTATGGGAACAGCCATCTGTAGAAGCACAAACAAGCTGTTCAATCTTTTTGAGTCATAAAATGACATGTGGCAAGTGTACTGGTAACGTCTGAGTCACCAGCAGAGGAAAGCAACAGGAGCAATGAGAAAGCTTATGAATTAGTTCACAGCTATGGACTAGATGTCAAAATCTGAAGCATTTCTCCTCAAAAACATTGACTTCCTTACCTTTGTAGATGTATAATACGGTGCAGAAATCAGAGGCAACACTTCCTTTATTTAATATACTATCAAAATGAGTCCTCAGTACAAGTCATTTGTTCCTCAGCATCAGCAAAAAATGAATATTATAAAATATATAATGAAAGTTGTCCCCAGGAGTCGTGTCACTGGTGTTACCGCGTAACAAAAATTCTCTTATTTTGAAATAAAAGTCACACTGATGACATCACTTGACCTCCTTTTACCTGTTTTCTGAGGATCTATGAAGAAAAGCTCATGGTGAGTCCACTGTGTCTTTCAGTTATCAGAGATTTTCTCATTCAGCTCATGATTTCATATGAAGCTTTTAGCTGAAGTCACTGGTGTGACCGACTTTATTCTGAGGTAATTGTGAAAAAATAGAATACAAATGGATTAAATTCCATATTTTAGTGGATATTCCATGATTGACAACATGTGGTTTGATGCTCTGTAGCAGTTATTTTGTAAAATGCATTTTTCATTAAAAATGTCTCTGGTGTTCCTTTATTATGTGGAACACCAGTGACTCCTATGGAGAGATAAGAAAGTGGACGTTTCTGTAGAATGACCCATTTAAATTTTTTCCTGTTTTTGCTTTATCCTGTAAAATGTACATTTTGGAGATACTAATTCTTAGCAAAAAATTACACAGAAGCCTCAATAACTTAATATAATTTTCCAGTATTTAGTGCTTTTATTACAGCTTCCATTCTTTTCAAGAGACTTACGAAAAAATCTCTCAGAAATCTGCAGGGATATTTTTCCTCACCTCCAAAGTTCAGTCTTAGAAGCTGGTTGATCATTTTCTGAAGTAATCAAACACATTCAGTGGTGTTGAGGTCTGGACTCTGGGGTGGTCAGTCCATTACTCAGCTTCTTTGTTTGATGTGTCCGTCTCCTTTTCTCAGTGAGGTTCTTCTTGAACAGCTACACATCCTTTCAGACCCACAGCGCTGAGTCGTCTTCTCACAGTGGAAGGATGGACAGAAACACCTGTGGATGTTTTCAGATCTGAAGCAGCTTGATTTTCTCCTCTCTCACAGAGATGAAAGCTTTAAGTGCTGTTTATCTGATGGGGGCAGTTTTGGTGGTCTTCCAGGCTTTGCCTGGTGGTTAGGAGCAACATTTTTCTTCTATATTGTGAATATTTGTTTTGGAACTCAATTATTTTTCCTTCCTTATGCAGTGGACTATTTTATATCTAATCCCTGTAGAAATATCTCCTGAAAACTGAGCAGCTTCTACATAATAGCTGTTTTTAAGGGAAGGAATAAAAAGGTGGTCTCTAACTTTTTAATACAGCACTGTATTGATTTAACACTGTAGATATGACATGCTTTGGTGTGTAATTAGACCTCATATGCATACAATGCCAAATTATGTAAATCTCAGCAACGTGTCTATCTGTGCTGTATCCCTGGATAAAACCAGGCCGTCTCACGTGGTGCTGGAACAGTGTAGGTGGCTTCGGTTTGTTTTACGACACTGTGTTCTTTCTCCACGCTGACTCACTTCTGGGCACGATACCTGCAAGCTGCTGGATCGACCGCGGGGCAGAAAGCGTCAACTTGTTTAAGTGCTCAGACTTCAAAACATATGCCGAGGGGTTTGTTGTCTTTCATTGTTAATTCATCCCCAACCGACTGTGTCACTCTGGATTCAATATTTAATATTTATTGCTGATCCAACATAGTTGGCTGCAATTTGCTGCCTCAGTGGACTCAAATGTCTGTGTCAAGATGATGTATTCGCATAATGAAAAGAAAATACAGACAGCAGGAAATGACGGGACATTCTTCACAAAGTAAGAAAACACGTGTTCTGTGTGGGTAGGAATATGAGGGAGTAGCCACGGGCTGACCAAAAATAATCAGCAATGCGTGAAACAGCCACCGCTAGTGATGCGTCAGTTACACTGGATGGACATCAATACTAGCCGTATTAAACAAAAGCAATATTGGTCAGATGTGACTGATTCATATTCGATACTATTTGTTAGTTACAGTCGATAAAAAACTGTGACAGTGAAATTTTATAAAGCATCACCAACATTTAAAAATTAGCCCAATCACAACAAGAATGTTAGTGTATGACAGTCTCCACAGTGGTATGTTAGCCTTTAGTGTATGTATATGTGGCAACAATTTACAACCCCATTTCCGAAAAAGTTGGGATGCTGTGCAAAATGTAAATAAAAACAAAATGCAATGATGTGTAAATCATTTAAACCATATATTTCATTGAAAATGCTTCAAAGACAACATCTCAAATGTTGAAACTGAGAAATCTTACTGATCTTTGAAAAATATGCCCATTTTGAATTTGATGCCATGTTCCAAAAAAGTTGAGATGGGGGCAACAAAAGACTGGTAAGATTGTGTAATGCACAAAAAACACCAGGTGGTTGATTGACAACAGGTCAGTAACATGATTTGGTATAAAAGAGCATCTCAGACAGGTGGAGTCTTTCAGAAGTAAAGATGAGGAGGGGTTCACCACTCTGTGAAAGACTGCACCATCAAATAGTGCAACAATTCAAGAACAACATAAACATAAAATAGCAAAAACTTTTGCTTTTCATCATCTACAGTACATAATATCATTAAAAGACTCAGAGAATCTGGAGAAATCTCTGTATGTAAGGGACGAGGCCAAAAACCAGTATTCGCTGGCTGTGATCTTTGGGCCCTCAGGCAGCACTTCATTAAAAACAGACATGATTCTGTAGTGGAAATCACTGCATGGGCTCAGAAACACCACTGTCTGTGAAAACAGTTCATCACTGCATCCACAAATGCAAGTTAAAACTCTAAAACACAAAGAAGAAACTGTACATAAACAGGATCCAGAAATACTGCCACCTTCTTTGGGCCTGAGCTCATTTAAAATGGACTGAGGTGAAGTGGAAAAGTGTCCTGTGGTCTGACGAATCAACATTTGAAATTCTATATGGAAATCATGGACACTGTGTCCTCCGTGCTAAAGACCATCCAGCTTGTTATCAGTGAACAGTTCAAAAGCCAGTATTCATGATGGTATAGGGGGCAATAGTGCACATGGCATGGGTGACGTGCACATCTGTGAAGGCACCATTAATGCTGATCGATAATATACATGTTTTGGCCTCATATGCTGCCATCCAGACGACGTCTTTTTCAGGGAAGGCCTTGATTATTTCAGCAAGACAATGTCAAACCACATTCTGCATGTATTACAACAGCATGACTCTGTAGTGAAAGAGTCCGGTTGCTAAACTGACCTGCCTGCAGTCCAGATCTGTCACCACTGAAAACGTTTGGAGCATTATGAAATGAAAAATACGATAAAGGAACTGTTAAGCAGCTGAAATCCAATATCAAATAAGAATGGGAAAACATTTCACTCAGTTCCCAAACGCTTACAGAGTGTTGTTAAAAGTAGAGTTAATGAAACTCAGTGGTAAACAGGCCCCCATCCCAACTTTTTTGGAATGAGTTGTTGGCATAAAATTCAAAATGGGCAAATATTTTTCAAAAAAACAGTAAAATTTCTCAGTTTCAATATTTGATATGTTGTCTTTGTAGTGCTTTCATTTAAAAATATGTTTTACACGATTTGCATATCATTGTATTCTATTTTTATTTACATTCTGCACAGCGTCCCAACTTTTTTGGAAATGGGGTTGTACATTAACTCTGACAAACATGCTATAAACATGTCATGGCAGATGCCATATGCTGTCATGGTAATTGTTCTGACATGTCATAATGTTTGATATCATAATGACTGACTATACATGCAACATTTAGCTTGTAAGCTGTCACAATATTAAACATTATGATATTTATTATGACAACCAGTGGTAACAGTAACATGACACTTATGTTAAATCTGTTATGACAACTCAAAAGAATATATGACATATTTATGGATGGATTGTCAACGTTATATAGCAGAGTTCAAATAAATTGTTATTGTTAATGTTCATGTATTTTCCCCCTACAAAGCACAAATGCCTTAATATAGCACTGGCATCAGATCAGTACTCGGTATCAGGCAAGACCCTGAGTTAGGCCTGGATCTTGTGATGTTTATTTGGGTTACCGCAGTAACGACCCCCAGGGATGGTAATAAATGCATTTACTGCCAGTTAAAAACTAAAAAAATGTTCATTTATTGATATATTTTCATGCAAACCATAGCAAAACAGCAGTACTCACACTCTTCAACGTAACTGAGTTTTAATCATGGTGGATGATGTGATATCCTACATTAATACCACCTTTATTTTACCTAACACAGATGAGATTGTTCTAGAAATGCAGCTGCACTGGCTAAACACACTCTGTGCTGCAGGCAGATATCATTCCTGTTCCTGTAAAAAAAAACACTTCTATAGTATGATGTACATTTTCTAACATTCTCACACTAAAGCAACAGGTTTTACACTGAAAAATGACTTCAGTCTCAGGAAAAACGTGAGTGAAAACGTGTCTCAGCTCTCGTTTAACAGGTGAAATGGGTCGCTTTAAATGGCTTCAGGCAAAATGGCTTTAGAGAAGAAGGGAATGTTGGAAAATTACAGTATGAAATAGTAAAGCAAAGACAAAAAAAATACCCCCTCAAGCCAGATTAACTATTTATTATAGTTATTTTCCACATGGTTACTTGAATGAGAGGACTCTCGTCACCAGCACAGACCTGCCTTGATTCCTATTTGCAGCCCTACTTATTGTACACAGAGTGGCGAGGCCTGAAAGAGGCCATGTCTAACAGCAGTGTGAGAAGGGGAAACTCCCCGATTGTGCCCGAGCACCTGCTTTCGGAGCACAGGGGGATGAGATCACACATGTGGAACAGAGATCCGGGTTATGTGAGGACATACGGAGGGGGGGGTGCGAGTGAAGGCTGGAGAGAAGCACAGGCTGTAATGCACAACAGGCCCACTCCGCCTAGCGTGGCCGTCCGCAACGCACAGGGCGCCGCTAATGATCATACGAGCAGCTAAAGAGCTGGACTCCCAGCTGCGCAGGAAAGACTCAAAGGAGTGGAGCCTTGGGAAACTTCGGTTTACAAGAAATGTGAGGAATGACAAAATGTAGCCGCCAATAAACCTCCTCCAAGCTGGGTCACATCCCAGTGTGAAAAAACGGAAGATAAATTAACCTATTTAGAAAAGACGACAGCGTCATAAGAGTCCAATCCAGACACTCGTGTTTCCAGACAAAAGAAAACTGTCCGTCCTGTTTCACTCCAAAGGGGCCATTTTGCCTCCATCTTCATCAACTGGGGCTGCTTTTTTCTGCGGGACAACAGAGCCCCCTGCTGGACTGACCGTCTTTTCTCACTTTAGGCTTTGGAGCTGTAATGAAGAAGAAGTTGATATTGATGTATGAGCCCTGGATGCAGTTAAATCTAGTACCGAAAGATTAATATGATTGGTTTCTTGACACCCTCACCGTTAGGATTCTCCTGCTTGTAAAAAGTCTTCAGCATTTCAACAGCCTCTTCTGCTCGGTGGCCTGAGATGCACTGAAACAGAAAGGAGGAATATTGACAAACTGTTTAACTGTGGTTGATCTGGAGCCAGATCCTCTGTCCAAATCTGAATCTTAACTAGTGTAAGAAAAGCTGTTATACTCATTGGCGGAGTTTACATGCAAAGATTTTTGCCAATCTGATTGAATACATTCCAATTACAGATTAAGACTGAGGTGTTTATTCTCACTCTACTCAACAATCTGATGGAAAATCTCTGTTTACATGCAAACTGCAAGTAATCAGATCCAAAATTATGCGCATGCATACAGAACCGCTTAGTGTAACCCTGCGTTCACACCTGCAGCGACTTTTCGCATCTTGTCACCCAAATCGCTGGTCGCTCATCGCCTGTGGGCATTTCTGAACTCGTTGGTTGCCATGGTTTCACTGACGCCAAGCACAAATCAGATGCATTTCTGCTAAAAATGTGTGCTTGTTTTTATTTAATCCCCCTGTCTGTGCAGTCAGTTTATGAGGAAAACAGTATTTGGTCTTTGTGATTACTGTCTATTTTGCGGCGAAAGCACCGCCCCCATTATTCCACCTGTAGTAGGAACAATTATCTAGGAACCAAAAAAGGAGTGTACTGTTTCACAGTGGCGGAGATGGTGCATACTACGCTGCTGAATGCTGAACTTCTATTGGTAACTGCCACGTCGCTTCACTCCTTATTTGCATAAAGTTCAACGCTCAACTTTGTCGCGTCGCTAACTCCGCCCACTTTGTGTCATCGACGTTCGCGCCACCTCCTGTTGCCAGAAATCGCAGCTCTCACTGAAAGAGGTGAGGTCCAGTCAGAGTGAGATGAGCAGCAATGAGCAACGCTTGTGTATTTAATTACTTTAAAATGATGTCAGACTCAGGAAAACGTCCTTCACATGTCCTTATTAAAGAAGGCCGAGAGGAAGACGTCGTGTTCTGAGACACATAAGCTGGACGTCCGTCCCACCGCCGTCTTTTAAAGATCAGAGCATAAACTTCGTCTCCTCTGCAGACCAGTTTCTGCTCCGCCATGTTGAACGGTATAAACTTTCACTACGACGCGACGAACATGATCAGAACGGACTTAAACTTTCCGATAGGGAATGTAATCAGATACAGGCGATTACACGGATATTATTCTTCTATTTAACAGATTATTTACAGGATTACCCACCTCGATCAATCAGATAGAAACTTATTCTGAATGGCCTCAATCAGACTAGACTATTCTGATTGAGGTGTTTACATGGACATATTCTATTCTGATTGAGCTATCAGTCGGATTATTAACGGATTATTAGGCTGCATATAAACGTGGCTATTGTACATTAGCCAGACTGAAAAAGAAGTCATGCTGAGTCCCGTATGCATTAAATTTAATTCTGCTCTATGGATTCAAATACGATAAGATCACATTTGACCGACAGCCGATTTGGTCAGACTCTGAAGACGAGACTACACTGAATTCCCAAACTGTCGTCACCACTGAGCAGCTTTTCAGTCGGCAGCTGTGACAGAAGAACAGCTGAACAACCTGGAATCAGCCAGAAATGAACCCAACAGCGCAGCGAGTGGGCGGAGCTCGTTACTCTGACGTAGCAACAAGCTGCTTGTTAAGGAACTATAATTTGGTGAAAGAACTGCGAACATTAAAACACATTAAACGCCGCGTTCACGGCCCAGTTTATTAATTTATTACTTTATTTATTTAACTGTTGTATAAAAGTAATAGAACACTCGAGGAGTGTGTTATCGCCAATAACGCACTCCGTCTCTTGTTCTATCGCTTTAATCAAAAACTGCCACCATGAGTACTTCGGTACTGGTGCACATCCCTGGCATATAATAAGGATTTTGTTTATATAAGAATTTGTTACCTTGAAAGATGTTCCAGTGTGGGTTAGGTCATCTGATGCAATGTCCAACACTGAACCACAGCCTCCGAACCGGTCATTCTTACACCCGTACACGACTAAAGGTATATCTGTGTCAGTGTCAAGGAGCAAAGCTTCGGCTTCCAGAGGGTCAGACTTCCACCAGCAACTCTACCAGCTACTGTTATTGTTACAGTCTAAAAGATATATGTGCCTTTAAGGTTTTTAGGGAGCAAATTTTTGTTCCTTAAAGAACCTTTCAATGGATGGTTGTTTAGAGAACCATTTTTGTAAATGAGTGAGTGTGAAGAAAGTTTTTAAACTTTGAACTACCACATACTTTAAAGGTTCTAGGAAGAAGCTTTTGCTGAAAAAAGTGGTGAAGAACCTTTACATTATTTAAAGTTTCTTTAAAATATTTTAAACACATTTACAAAACTGCTTTTTCTATTCAAAGAAGGGTCATTCTACACAAACGTCCACTTTTCTATCTGTCAATAGGAGTCACTGGTGTTACTGATCCTCGTTGGTGTTACACATAATAAAGGAACACCAGAGACATTTTTAATGAACAATGCATTTTACAAAATAACTGCTACAGAACATCAAACCACATGTTGTCGATCATGGAATATCCACCAAAATATGTAATTTAATCCATTTGTATTTTATCGTTTTCACAGTCACCTAAAAATAAAGTCGGTCACACCAGTGACTTCAGCTAAAAGCTTCATATGAAATCATGAGCTGAATGAGAAAATCTCTGATAACTGAGAGACACAGTGGACTCACCATGAGCTTTTCTTCATAGATCCTCAGAAAACAGGTGAAAGGAAGTCGAGTGATGTCATCAGTGTGACTTTTATTTCAAAATAAGAGATTTTTTGTTACGCAGTAACACCAGTGACACAACTTCTAGGAACAAGAACTTTCATTATATATTTTATAATATTTATTTGTTTTCTTTGTCATTTAAATCATATATTTCATAGTCATGTATAGATTATTGCAGTAAAATTGCAGAAAAACATGTTTATCTGAAAATATGGCCTCAGCCTTTACACATGACTGTGGGGACGAGCTCTTCTGTGGTGCTTGGAATTCTATATGATTGATTTAAAAAACAATATTGCTGAATTGAGGCTCAAGAAGTTGTAATTGTTAAAATAATTTATTGTTTTATTTTAAAATATAAATAAGTTTGTAACCCTAACATGTTTTTGAAGTGTAATATATCTGTAAATGCTAGGGACACAAAAATGGACATTTCTGTAGAATGACCAAGAACTATTAGTGGCACACTTTTTTTTAACACTACAGATTGATGATTTACTGAAAATTGTGTTTGGTGTTTACTTATATGGCAGTTTATTACACAAATGTGCAGCAAAACATCTGACAAAAAATATGAGATTCCAAATTAAAGGTCTACTGCCCAAACCTTAATGACAGCACAAATATTGCTGTATTATTCTGTAAGAAATACCACAAACTAAACATCTGTAAGCAACGATAATGTTTTGAGTCTTATAAAACAGGAACTGAACATGTTCAAAAAGGAAATCCAAAACAAACATCAAGGATACGTAGCAGCCGTAAAGCAGCTGCACACATGATACACGGTTCCACAGTCACATAAAGAACAGTCTGCTGACAGACCTCCTTTGGGTTGAGCTGTTTGAGACGGCACCACTCCAACACCTGGTCCAATGCCACCATCTCTGCATGACGTGTTGCCTATAAATAAAAATAGGAAAAAAATATTCCCTTCAACATGATTCTGTGAATTACCTGCTCTGTGGGGGTCCTGACCACTGAAGAACAGGGTAAAAGGGGGCTAACAAAGTATGCAGAGAAACAGATGGACTACAGTCTGTAACTGTAGAACTAAAAAGTGCACCTATATAGTAAGTGGAGCTGATAAAGTGGACAATGAGTGTAGAAACCTTTTACCCTGTTCTTCAGTGGTCAGGACCCCCATGGACCCTCACAGAGCAGGTAATATTTGGGTGGATCAGACACAGCAGTGCTGCTGGAGTTTTTAAACACCTCAGTGTCGCTGCTGGACTGAGAATAGTCCACCGACCAAAAGTATCCAGCCAACAGCGTCCTGTGACCACTGATGAAGGACTAGAGGATGACCAACACAAACTGTGCAGCAGCAGATGAGCTATTGTCTCTGACTTTACATCTACAGGGTGGACTGACAAGGTAGGAGTGTATAATAGAGTGGACAGTGAGTGGACACAGTGTTTAAAAACTCCTGCAGCACTGCTGTGTCTGATCCACTCGTACCAGCGCAACACACACTAACACACCACCACCACGGTGGTCATAATGCTATGCCTGATCATACATACTCTAGCACTCTACTGTCACTTACGTGTTAACAGTTTCCATGCATGATCTGTTTTACTTACATTCTTCGTTTCATTCACCTCGTTTCGTCCTTTTCCTAAAATCTCGTCGTTGTACACCATGAGACACCCAACAGGTACTTCGCCGTTTTCAAGAGCGTCTCTGGCCTGTTAAACACATTTACACAATCTTTTTAAATATAATAAAATATAATTAGAAAAGTGCATTTCCTAAAGGAAACGTGGAATGAATTGTGCCACGGTTACTATTGAATTCTATAGGAGGAATGAGGGATGAAAAAAGTACTCATAGAGGAGTGTGGGTCAGTATGGCGGTGGATTAGAGCTTGGAGACCTGATCTGAGTGAGTACATGTACTTTGGTGGCTGTTGAGAAAGAGACAGATTAGGGCTTTGTTGCGAAAGAAAATAAATTGGACTCTATGGGAGGAACAAGGGATGAAAAAAATCAGCAAATAGATGAGTGCAGGTCAGTGTGGCTGTGGATTAGAGCTTGGGAACGTGCCCATGCATTTCGGTGTCTGTTGCACAATGGAAAAAACAGGGCTATGGTTTGGCCGAAAATAAATGGGATTCTAAGGGAGGAACGAGGGGTGAAAAAACGACAAATAGGGGAGTGCGGGTCAGGACAGCTGTGGATTAGATCTTTGGGACCTGCCCTGAATGAGTACATGCATTTTCGTGACTGTCGGGCAAAGAAGTAACAGAGTTTGAGTGGTGGCGAAAATCAATGAGACTCTATGGGAGAAACGAAGGATGAAAAAACGACAAATAGAAGAGTGCGGGTCAGTGTGGCTGTAGATTAGAGCTTGGAGCGGTGCCTTGAGAAAGTACTTGCATTTAGGTGGGTGTTGGGCAAAGAAGTAATAGAGTTTAAGAGGTGGTGAAAATGAATGGGACTCAATGAGAGGAACAAGGGATGAAAAAACGACAGAAAGAGGAGTGTGGGTCAGCATGGCGGTGGATTAGTTCTTGTGCTAGCTAAGTGCAATTCCACCTTAAAAGCAGTTCCACCTTAAAAACCTCATCATGTGTGCTGACACTGCTGAGCGTTAGGCTGGGAGCGGGTGAGACATTGGGCTCCGTGCGTGAGTCTGGATGGGTGTGTGAGTTAAGGGCCCATTGTGACGTCATGTCTGGCATGCTGCCAACAGTCCGCTCAATGTAAGTCTATGGGAGAAACAAATGATGGAATAAAACGACAAACGGATGAGTGCGGGTCAGAACGAGAGTGGATTCGTGCTGGGGGCCCCGCCCTGAGATAGTGTACGAAAAACGGTGTCGATCGGACAATCAGAAGTGCCTTAGATTGGCATGCAAATGTTCACCCCATTCATTCTCTATGGGAAAAAATTCCGCGAAATTCCCTCGCTACACTGAATCCGTGCATCCGATCAAAGAGCTGTATACAAGCACGCGCCACACAATCAGGCCGGACAATACAGTTAAATTACCATATCAAACGCTCTGGCCATCCAGCTCTGAACGTCACTGTCAGGGGGCTGTAAAAACCCCCCGTCCGTCACAGCAGCTTCACCAGCCTGAGCTCGCATCTCCAAACAGGCCTTTATATCGCTACAAAAAGCCGCCTCCACTAAAGACCTGCGCTCGTGTCTAACAGACACGCCTCGAGCCTCACCTGCACCACGCTTTCCCCTTCATCTGGGGGAACATAATAGAAGAGGGACCAGTAAGACCAGCGTGACAAACCAGCACAATCGATCCATCGATTCCATCGTTTCTTCACCGCCTGGCTGCTGCGCGCTGTTGCCATGTTGGGAGAAAAAAACCCTAGTTGTGTAATTATCGTAGCTCAGAGGTCACCAAACAAAACAGTGACGTACGAGGAGAAATATGAGGATATTTTTTAGGGCCTTTTTCTAACCGTAATGGCTTGTTTATAATTAGACTTTGTTTATTTGTTCAAGGTGTCTAAGAAATATTTATAATCAATTACTTAATATAAGCTGATCATCCTGCTCCTCTGGTAAAGCCTGGTAGACTTTTACTAATCATTTACACTTTTAAGCTGAACTTTGATTGCACTACAATTAAAAATACTCTGCTCGGGTGTGAAATAAATTTGAGTAAATGTAATTTGTTTCTGTACTTAAGTAGTTTTTTGTGTGTCTGTACTTTACTGAAGTTTTTCCATTTTGGGCGACTTTTTACTTTCACTCCACTACATTTCAAAGTCAAATATCTCACTTTTTACTCCACTACATTATGAGAAATCTGTCACTCCTTTTGGTTTATGTGTGTATAAAAACATAACGTCAAAATAAATGAAGCGCAAAGCAAGAACACCAATCAGGGCACAGCGGTCACTTTGTTTTGAGCTTGTTTTGACCTGTTGGTTATACCGACCCAGTGCAGCATGCGGTTCAACATCAGTGCAGCAGTGTAAAATTTTGGGAGAGTCTATTCAACATAAATGATGAACTAACCTAACTTTGTGTAAACAGACCACAATATAGAAATATGTACACATATGCAGTTGTGACTGACATCTGAATTTATACAAACACTTTCATTTTATAGTAAATTAGTTTAGGCTAGTTTATGTTTATGAACAGAGACCTACAGATGCAGTTTAGTAAAGGAAACTCATTTGTGAATCTGAGTTTAAAGTTTTTATTAAACTTAAACTTGTAACTAAGTTACAAATAAATCTTAAACTGAAACTTTGCTTGTTTGTAAAAAGTGATTTCAGAGCCACTCAGTTCTACCTGATGGAAACTGTTTGCCTTCAGTGTTTTGTGCTTATGATAATTTTAATAGACATCAGCATCACTAATTAATGACTCTATTAAAAGACTGGTTTACCAAGAGAGACACTGGAGTATTTTCACCTAAAATGAGTTAATGAAGCGAGTCTTGTTACAGAAATGATAATAGGACATCAGAGCCATAATTAATCTTTTAGTACTTTTACTTTCAATACTTAAGTACATTTGAAGGCAAATACTTTTGTACTTTTACTCAAGTGGAGGTCTAAAGGGAGGAACTTCTACTTTTACTGCAGTAATATTTTACCTCTCTACTTTAACTCGAGTACATGATTTGTGTTTTTCGTCCACCACTGTTGCTGTGTACTAATTTGTACTAGTATTAGAAAGTGGTAGTAATTTGTGTACCTGTATTATTATATGTATTATTGTAAGTAAATAGTAGTGATCTTAGCTACATTTCAAAGAGAAATTAAACACTTTTAACTCTTTACATTTTCATTTTGATCTTCAAACCTCAAAGTACTTCTTATAAATCTCAAAAGCTGGAATATTTTTCTCTTGTTCTCTTGACAGAAAGCGTTCCTGAGCATTTGAATAATTATATTATGTTTTTAATAAAACACCCATTATAACCATGTTTCTCTTCTGATGCACAAGCAAGTGTAACGGTTTGGCGTTTTTGGACAGTAAGAGTCACTCCAAATTAAACAACTACCACATGTACATTTACCTACGGAGCCCTGCTGGTGACTGTATTAATAAAAATAATGCGTGGCCATGACTTAGTAAGGCATAGGAATGAGATGATTAAGTCATGGCCACGACTTAGTAAAGTGTGGGTAAAGCCATGATCTCGTTCCCACGCTTTACTAAGTCGTGGCCAGCAGGGCTCCGTATTTACCTTCATAACTGAGATGTAAAAATGCCACAACATCTTATTTCTATGGAGCCCCGCTGGTGACATCCTGTGTAAATAAAAATAAGGCCTTATTAACGTGTGGGAATGACTTAGTAAGGCGTGGGAATGAGATGATTAAGTCGTGGCCATGACTTAGTAAGGCGTGGGAACAAGATCACGGCTTACTAAGTCGTGGCCATGCATTAGGATCTCATTCCCACGCTTTACTAAGTCGTGGCCACGACTTAATCATCTCATTCCCACGCCTTACTAAGTCATTATTTTTATCTATACAGGACGTTCAAAACAAGGCCACAACACATTAGAAAGGGAGTGTATTCGAGGCTGGGCAGCGGGGAAACGGGGAAAGGCCAGAGTTGACGGGGAATTTCGTAGCCGCATCTGGCAACCCTGACTTTAACGCCTTCTTGCCATGGAGTCCGGAGCTCTGCTAGCTCTGTCTGAACGACGCGCTCATTAATCTGAGTTACTTTCTGCGTTTTACACCTGAGATCGGATTTAAAATGTTATCATCGACGTGGAATTTCATCAAACGCCACAAGAGGAAGTTCATTTTCGCCGGAGTTTTCGCTGGAGGTACAGCACGGCGGCTGAACCAGCCACGTAGCCGCTGCGAGGCTCGTACATTCATTCTGCCGTGCGAGCTGCTAAAAAGAGGCGGTTTGAGCAGATAAACTACAAACGCCTGCTTTACTGATACAGATCGCCGCGGATCGGCCGTAGTTTGTGAAGTAGTGTGTTGTTGTTCTGCTGTAGAGCTCAGCTGAGCCGGTGCTGTAGCTGCTTTACCGCCTGTTAACCCGTCACCCAGTTCAGTGTCCTCAGCGTTTGGCTGAAACTCCATCGTGGTAGTTTACAGGTCGTTTGTTCGCAGCGTTTAGCTGAACAGTCCTGGCGAGCGTCCAGTACGGAGCCCCGCTGGTGACACCCTGTATAAACGAAAATAATGCGTGGCCACGACTTAGCAAGGCGTGGGAATGAGATGATTAAGTCGTGGCCACGACTTAATAAGGCATGGGAACGAGGTCCTAATGCGTGGCCACGACTTAGCAAGACCTTATCTCATTCCCACGCCTTACTAAGTCGTGGCCTCGACTTAATTATCTCATTCCCACGCTTTACTAAGTTGTGGCCACGCATTAGTTTTATTTATACAAGGTGTCACCAGCAGGGCTCTATATCCTGTATAAATAAAAATAATGCGTGGCCACACCTTATTGATGCGTGGGAACGAGATCCTAATGCATGGCCACGACTTAGTAAGGCGTGGGAATGAGATCACGGCTTACTAAGTCGTGGCCACACATTATTTTTATTTATACAAGGTGTCGCCAGCAGGGCTCCGTAGGGATCTATGGACATCCTGTATAAATAAAAATAATGTGTTGCCTTATTAACACGTGGGAAGGAGATCCTAATGCATGGCCACGACTTAGTAAGGCGTGGGAATGAGATGATGAAGTCATGGCCATGACTTAGTATGGCGTAGGAACGAGATCACGGCTTACTAAGTCATGGCAATGCATTAGGATCTCATAACAAAATTGTTATCTTGAAATAACATGTTACTTATCTTGTTATCTCGAGATAACAATTCAGAAAATGACAGCAACACTCATGGCCTCTACTCGTCTGTACGCTCGCCATCAGTTGCAAATGATACGATGAAACTACACCTGCTAACGTTCAGGGAATTGTCTGCCCCTTTGTTCTCCAGGTGTGTACCTGCTTGGTAAATATGCTCAAAGGAAACTCCAGGAGATGCAGGAGCGCGAAGCGGCGGAGTACATCGCTCAGGCTCGGCGCCAGTTCCACTTCGAGAGTAACCAGAGGACGTGTAACATGACGGGTAACTACTCACAGTGCTGGGCGATAGACCGATACTGGTATACCGAGGTATAGGTTTCAGTGTTACAGGTACTGATAGAAAGTGAGCTGTTTTGGGTGCTGTACCCAGGTGCCCAAGCACACAGGTAAAGCACACATTATGTCTGTCCAAGAGCGCCACCGTGCATCACATTGTCTTGAAGAAGATGGATAAAAATAGTTGTCTGATTTCATTAGAAAGATAGAAAGATTGATACTTTATTGATCTCGAAGGAAATTTAGCAGCCAGTATCGGCCCCACAGCACAGCACCGTTATAATAATATGGGTGGTACAATATAAGAAGAATATATGGTAACACTTTATTTGGACAGTCCACTTTAGATGCTTTGCAGATATTTTCAAGTTACATTCAACTTAATATCTACTAAACTGGCCATAATAAACCTCTAAACCTGCTCTAATCCTCACACTAAGCTTAACCTCAACCCAAAACCTAAACCCAACCCTCACCGTGGTCCAAATCCCAACCCTAACCCCACCACTGTTTAGAGTTTCTGCAGATAGTTTGTGAACAGTCTATCCAAATAAGGTGAGATCAAATATATACAAAAAACATGCAATAAGATCAATGCATCCATTGCTTGGATGTTTGCTTTTGTCTAACAAAATTAATTGCATATAAATAAAAAAAAAAGTTTCTGAAATTGAATGATAGACTTGCCTATTCAAATAAGAACTGTTTAATTAACGTTTTTTAATCAGTAGCGTTAGTCATGCCCATCCCTGTACGTCATGTTTAGCTGATAAGCGATTTCCGTAAATCTAGGGATGAAACATTAATCAATTTTATGTTGAAATCTCCGTCTAAAAGAGTGCAATTTTCAAAACGCAAGAGGTGCAATTAAAAAATATATATATACCTACATTATAAAAACGTTGTGTTGAGTTTTAAATGCGGAAATTTAACCTAATGACTTGTAAACTGCCTGTAGGTGAGTTAGACCAATCGTAGGCAAACAAACCTCTGTGTACTGTGACATCACAACCAGGCTGCCTGGCCTTACTAAATTCAGGGGTCGAGCTTCAAGCTAGAAAAAGAAGATGTTCTGGTTTTCTTGGCAGAAAAAAAGGCTGAACCTTGATTTATAGAAAATAATCGCAAATTTAGTCGGGGTTGCAGTATTAGTCTGAAAAATCACAGTTAGATATTCTCC